CGATGACTTCGGTTCGGTTTCGTGCTTCTGTAAAGGGCACTGCTTTACAGTATCAACTTTTTCGTTTTTACAATGCACACCAGTGACCCAATTGGATAATTTTCGCAAGAGAGGAACGACATCTTCAAGGGTTGTTCATAAATGAAGTAGTCGGTTGTCAAAGAGGTGCTTGGGTATTAGATATGGCACTCACATTCATTTCAAACCGATTACAGAAGGCATGCCGCCACATCTTTCCGTACAGGAACGTTGGAGAATTATTACACTACGCCAAGACAACAATCTGTCCTTGCGACAGATTGCTGGAATATTACAGTGTTCATTCAACACCGTCCGGCGTGTGATACAGTTATTTGAGGAAACACACGATGTGCTGGAACGAGAAGGTAGAGGAAGGCACAGGCTGGTCACCGGTTCAGTTCGGCGACATTTCCGACAAATTATGTCACAACATCCCAGTGACACATCAGCCTCGATTGCCAATCGACTCGAACAGCGTAGTGGTGTCAGAGTTAGTGATCGAACGATCCGCGAAGCTCGTCGTAACGAGAACTACCATCCCGTTCACGCAAGAGTTCATTGGCACATTAATGAACAACAAGCTGCACGTCGATTACAATATTGCAATCTACACCAATCCGACAATTGGCGACAGGTAATGTTCACTGACGAGAAGAAGTTTCAAGTGGATGAGAGTGGTATCGTTTACTGGATTCCTATCGGTGCTCCTCGATCAAGAGCATTCGTGGGTCAAGTGAAATACACCGTGACCGTATTTGGAGCAGTTTGGTTCAACAGTCGATCTCGTCTGGTGTTTATTCAAGGTTCCAGCAATACTATCACATATTTACAGCACGTGCAACTCGCTATTGGCAACCATGTTCGAAACTTGCGCGGTTACTCACTCATTCACGACCGAACCACGTGGAGTCATACACATTTGGTGCATGATTGGCTGACTGCTAATCGTATTACTTGCATGGATGATTATCCTTCCGTCAGTCCTGAACTTAATGCCATCGAATCAGTTTGGGGCTGGATGAATCGATACGTGCAATCGCGTCATCCAAGGTCGCAAGAGCATCTCGAAAATTTGGTCAGTGAAGCATGGCGACGTATCCCTACCACCGTTGTCCAAGGCTACATACGACGAATC